CGCATATAAAAAGTTAGAAAAAATTTTTTATTCAATTATGACGATCATCACCAAATTCGGGTTTGTCCACCATGCTATCCTATACGGTGGATTAAACGAAATTAAATATATAGTATATATATATATATATTCATGAAATATTAAAGCAAATGAAATATTTCATGAAATGAAATATAAATATTCATGAAATGAAATCTATATTAAATGCAAATGAAGTTGAATAATTAATATCCTAGTTTATTTATATATATACTTGGGTTAATAAATGATCTTTATACGTACCAGGTACGATTAACATGAATTTAAAATAGTAAATATTTATTAACCTGGATGGCTTATTTAAATACTTAGATTATAGCACATAAAAATATTTTTTTTTAAAAAAAGATCCAGATCACATACTGAGACCTCCGTATCCCGCGTCCAGGAAAGATGTGGTTCGCCTCAGCCGGGGTCGAACAGAAAATCAATCTCGTGATCATAGTATTTGTTTAGTCAACATATATTCTGAGTTCTTCAGAATTTATCCTATGTATTTCCTATAATCAATCTCTCGACTAAATCGATTTTACGTCACTAAATGTAAAGTGCGTTTCAAAGTCATCGGATGTAGCGTTTTGTAAAAGACCTGGATACGAATTGATGACCTTGATAAGAATTCTATATAGTTGTATTTATACTAAATTTACTGTAGTTTTAATTCTAACTTGTAAAAAAATTATAAATTTTCAAAAATACGTACTAATGTCAACAGTAATAGTTAGTAAATACTGTATATTATACAAAAATATATCGATATCGATTCTTAAATCGATTCTGAATCCAAACTGGTGTATAATATACTGTATTACGATATGAAGTCTATTGACCCTGCCGAGTTAAGAACTAAAATTTAATTTTGCTTGGCCTTATCTGATGATAATTATTATAACTTACATAGTTTTGGAAACGAATGAAATATTTAAAGTTCTTTAACGTTAAAAGAAAATAATAATAACTGGTTATAATGATAATATATATCTGATTATTAAATATTTATTTTAAAACAAAAATTGTTTAAACGAATAAACATTTAAGTAAGATATGTGGAATTATTAAAGAAATTTTGTAAAACTAGTCTTTTTTTTTTTTTACACATAAAAAATATAACATTAGCATTAACTAAATAAATTAACAACCCCGAACCAAAATTTTATTATTACATAAAGAATTATCTATAGATTATATAACATAGAAGCGAAAATTTAAAAATAAGAGTATTGTTCCCCTTTTTCAGCATCATTAACTTTTGTCCTTCTTAATTTTTTTAAGCATTTACTAGTGCTCTTGATAGCAGAACCACATGAGCTAATACATAATAATATAGCGGCAACAGTTATAAAAGAAGCGCTCATAGTAGCCAAATAAATGCCAGGACCAGTATTTTGACTTCCAATACCAGGAATAATAGAAATAAGATCAAATACCCAAACAAAAAGTAAGAGATCAAAAAAACAAGCAATGGTATTAAGTAAGGAAGAAGCTAATATTAGTAAAGCAGCAATAATTGTAAAATGAAAATATAATAAAGGTAAAGAAATTACATTAAATATTAAAGCTATTAAATAAGGAACAGAAAAAAATCCCGAAATGTTAGCAGTAGGACTCCTTGGTTTAAACTTATCGAAAGCACTTAATAATTGTGATAATAAACCCGGGGCTTTTGCAGCAATATCTGCAGCAGTATTCACAGCAGTATTTGCAGCACCGGTGACAGCGCCACTAACGGCCGAAACAGCCGGTTCTACACTAGATGGAACATCAGGAATTGAAGGAGTTGGGATTGAAGGAGTTGGAATATCGAGACGTTTTTGATTTGAAGATTTACCAGTGATTTCTGAAGAGGAGGGCACTAAAAATATATAGTATATATATTTTTAAGATTAATATAAAAAAAAAAAAAAGAAACCGATAAATGCTAAAAAAAGAAAAAGTTAATTTAATACATACATTTATCAAAATTATTAACCAGTGAAGGAGTAGTGCATGAATCATCTACACAATGGCCGAATAGAGTGAAAGTTATATCATTTTTATTCGTAATAAATTTTATCGGTTCGTCAAAAGTAAATTTTGACAAATAAATAGTTTTAGAACTACCAAGCAAAAGGATAAGAAGAAGTAAAATAGACAAAAGAATTAATAAGACAGAAGAAAATACTAAAGGGTATTCTTTAGATGGCCGGACTACATGAGAATGGAAGAATGTTTGAACTGGGGAGACAACATAAGTATGAAAAGAGGAATTATTTTCAGGTTTTGCCGTATCACTATTGGAAACGACAGAAAGTCGTCGATTTGACTGCTTTGGTTCGGGGATTTCAGATAATCTTTTTTCAAACATCTTTACAGTCCGGCTGTGTATATAATCTATGTATATAATCTATAGTTCTTTTTTAACTTAGTAAAATTTTTGGGTTGACTAGGACGAGAACGCGCTGCGTGCCAACACCATTCCTTGAAAAATGGAATCCTTATATTTATAAAAAAATTCATTTCTTTGTTTTCTAAAATCTATAGTGGAAATGTATAAATTTGTAAATGTTATATGTATTTTAAAAATAAATAACAATTGTTTGTTCGATAATTTGGGAATAATACTTACAAAGGTGGCCCGTTCCATTTCACTAAACCTTTGTTTCATCAAACGTCGGAACCTGGGCAATTGATCACAATGCAGCCTTTGTTTATATGAATACAAGTAGATCGTTATAATTATATAACTTTATTTTATTGGTCAAAAAAAGTTGCAATACGAAGAATGACCATTTTTTATGTTAAATGTTTTCAAACTGTTATTACTAATTAACGTTAATTTATTTTGAAAGGCAAAAAAACATTTCGTAGATCATTTAATTTTTTTGTCCAAAAGTATATTGTTATAATAAGGCTTTTAATTGGCTAGAGCTACGTATTAAAAACGAAGTGAAAATCTTATTCCATAAAGTTTCAAGTTAATTCCCAGACCAACTTTTAAATTTTTATTAAATATCATAAATATATCGTAACAAAAATTACGTATTAAGGGTTCTTTTTTCATTTTTGATTGAGATACAACAAAGATTAGTAGAAATATATTGTTTTATGAATTTACGTATACGTATATCTTAAAAATTTAATAAATTTAAGGATATAATTTCAAATATACGTATATTAGACTTTTTATGACTACTAAACCTATAAATTTGAATATATATATATACTGTATATTAAATTCAGCTAAAAAATAGATTTACTGCATCACAAAGTAAAGCGTTGTATACGTAGTTCAGTGGCAAAAGCGTTAGGTATTAAAATCAAGATGACGATTAAATTGCCTTATCTGGTATATATTACTATACGTATTATCGTTATACGTACGTACGATATGTAGTACTGTACGTACTGTACGTATAATACTTTGTATTATCTGTTATACTGTACGTATAAGTATTTTATTGTATATACGTACCAAGTATAATTACAACCCTAATCGTATTATCATATCGTTATGATTCAGATAAAAAAAAAAGTCCCAAAATTTATCTCGGCAATTCATTATTCCTGTAGTTCATTACGTATCTTAACATCGATTTTACGAATCATTAAAGGATTTTAAAAATAGAATTGTTAATGAAATTTTGGGATTATCAAGCTTGGGTAGGCCTCTGAAAGGTTGTACGTAACAAATGGTCTTGGTAAAATAAAAAATGCTGTTCTTTATCACATGCACAGATATTATTTGCCGTTATGCGTGAATAATTTGTTGTACAGAATTTTCGTTCTTTGTTATAAAGAGCGTTACAACGATCAAAAATATTCAGAACGACTAGTTCGGTCTAGTAAGGTAACTGCCCATTGTTGTTACATTTATGTCACATAGGTTTTTTCGGCTTGTCCATGCTCATACTTTTTTATGACTTAGTATATATTATCAAAAATATATATGTAGATTTATTGACAACCCATTTTTGCTCAATGCTTGAAATCAAGTTGTCATAATAAAATTTTGGGTCATTAATATTTCTTTTTTTTGTGTAATCGTCCATACTTTTGTCCATTGACAACACTGACTGCGTCAATACGTAATAATAATAATCAAAGCGCTTGTTTCTTCCTTTTACTGTACCGGAGTTCCAATTTACTAATCTGAGACAGGTTATACGTATCGATCTCCTAGTTTTAAACTCAACATTCATATTATAACGATAATAACAATAATATTAACAATAATCGAATAATAAATTTAATGGTCGTCATCCCAAGAATGCTCTTCTTTTTTTCAATTGTCTTCTGAAGTGGAATATGTGTTCTACTGCGAACTCATGCAGTAAAGAATTTAATTCTTTTTTACGTATAAATGTTTCAAAATCTGTTAGCGATATTAATATTAACATTGATATTCACGCTTAAGAATTTTACATGCATATATACTTTTTGGTGCTATAATAGATTTTTTATTCTTTGCTTACATATAGACAAACATAATGTTGACTACAGAATACGATTATTCTTTCCACTGCACTGAGTATACTATATAGATAAACTTTAAAATCTATGCGAAATTAATTTATTTACTTTAAGGACAGCTAAAGAAAAAAAAATTTCAAAATCTTTTGCAAAATTAATTTATTTACTTTAAGGTCTTCCTTATAATGGCACCGATCACTTGCTCACAAAAATAAATATATATAAATTTCTCAATTTTTTTTTTTTGTCAAATTAAATCCATCAAATGTCCTATTACTAAAACGTACCGATTATTTGCAGAAATAAATCCACATAACTCAAAATTTAAAATTCTAAAGAACGAGAAGAAATTTTGAATGCGGTTTTATATTTTGTTGGAGTTGTATAAACTAATTTTTATGTTACATTTTAACTAGATACGTGCAATTTTTTTTTTTTTTTTTTTTTATTAATATAATGCCATAGTAGAAACTTTATTACAAAAAACCTAAATTAATCTAAAG